GCCTGGGGATGGGTTGGGGAGATCCCATGTTCCAGTCCCCCCCTGCTACTCCCAGCCCTAGGGCTGGATGGGTGCTGGCACCTTCTAGAGAGGAAAAGCCCCATGTCCCATTCCTTGCCTTCCCAAGGAAGGGAGCTGTATCAGAGGCAGTGTCCCCCAAAGATGAAAGGGCCCCATGTCCCATTCTCCACCCAGCTGAGCCTGCTGGACCCCCTCCTCCTGCCTGGGGCTGGATTGGAGCTGGCACCTCCTACAGGTGAAAAACCCTGCACATTCCCCACCCCTCTGAGCCAACCAATTCCCCCGCCCTGGAATCAGATTGGAGTCAGTGCCCCCTGGATGGGAGAGGTCCTGCATTCCATTCCCCAACCCTGAGTCTGCCAGTCCCCCTTCCCTGTCCTGGGGCTGGGTTGGAGCTGGTGCCCCAGGGAGGTGAAAGAGCCTGTATCTGTTAGGTTTGTGCTCTAGGCTTGGTACTGCTGATCCCCATAATGTAGCCAGCTGTTTTGCTTTCTCTCTTGTCCAGGCTGAAGGGGGCTATGAGCCGGGGTGACTGGTACAAAACCAAGGAGATTCTGCTGAAAGGGATCGACTGGATCTTGAACGAGATCAAGACCTCGGGCCTGCGAGGTCGGGGTGGGGCTGGCTTCCCCACAGGCCTCAAATGGAGCTTCATGAACAAGCCTTCAGACGGCAGGTGAGTGGGGCAGGGCTGCCACTGTTGGGCCCTCTACAGCATGGGGTGGACAATGGCTCAGGGCGGTACAGCTCCTTCTCCTAGTCTGAAACATCCCTGTGGGGCAGGGCTTGGGGGGTGGGCAGTGCTGGGGCCTGCATAGAACCCAGACATCCTGGCTGCAAGCCCCCAGCACTAACAAGCGTTCCCAGAATACCTCCACCCCAGGGGCAGTCCCATTGCAGGGCATGGGGCCGCTGAGCTGCAGCGTGCCTGGGTCCCATTGGCTCCCTGGGGTGGGGACAGCTGGCAGTGCTGGCTCAACGAGCCTTCTCTGCTGGCAGCAAGGTAGTGGAGCTGGGTCTGCTGTGGGATGGTAGCTCACGCGGGGAGGGCTGCTGTGGTCAGTCCGATGGGGTCTGTGTTCTAGGCCCAAGTACCTGGTGGTGAATGCGGATGAAGGGGAGCCAGGAACCTGTAAGGACCGCGAGATCATGCGCCATGACCCACACAAGCTGGTGGAGGGCTGCCTGGTGGCAGGGCGCTCCATGGGGGCCCGGGCTGCCTACATCTACATCCGTGGGGAGTTCTACAATGAAGCCTCCAACCTGCAGGTAAGCAGGAGCTAGAGGGGGAGCAGGTGCACTGATCCACAGAGCTTGGGGTGGGGGCAGCCACTGCCATTTTGACCCATTTCCCCATGTGGCACAGAGGGCAGGGCTGGGGTTGTGATGGCAGGAGCAGCTGCTCTGACCAGTCTCTCTGCAGGGCACAGAGGGCAAGGCAGGCCAGGGAGCCAGGCCAGGTGGGTGTGGCGCAGCAGGGCCGGGGGAGCAGCTGTGCTGACCTGTCTCCCTGCAGGTGGCGATTCGCGAGGCCTATGAGGCAGGTCTGCTGGGCAAAGACGCCTGCAACTCAGGCTACGACTTCGACGTGTTTGTGGTGAGGGGCGCCGGGGCCTACATCTGTGGGGAGGAGACAGCGCTGATCGAATCCATTGAGGGCAAGCAGGGCAAGCCACGCCTCAAACCGCCCTTCCCGGCTGACATTGGTACGAACCACCGGGGAACTGTGCTGTTGTGGGGGAGATGGGAGGTGCCTTAGTGGGGGTTCGCTTGCCCTCTTTAGGGGACTGAGGGACTGTGGTGTTCTAGCTGGGTCCCCCTGCCCAGCTGCTTGTGGGGCAGGGGGTTCACACTGTTTTTGGGGGCACCAGGATAACCCAGCCTGCTCTGTGTCCACGTCACTGCCCTCTCCTTCCCAGGCGTGTTCGGCTGCCCCACTACCGTGGCCAATGTGGAGACGGTGGCTGTGGCGCCCACCATCTGCCGGCGCGGGGGAGCCTGGTTTGCCAGCTTTGGGCGTGAACGCAACTCGGGCACCAAGCTCTTCAACATCTCCGGGCACGTGAACACGCCCTGCACCGTGGAGGAGGAGATGTCGGTGCCGCTCAAGGAGCTGATTGAGAAGCATGCGGGTGAGATGCCAAACCCTGGCCCTCCCCTGACTGCTGGGTGAGCGACAGGGCTGGACTCCCCCCTCTTCCCGTCTTAGGCCACTTCGTCTCCGGGCTGCCCCACAGGTCTAGCTCCAGCTGTTGCGGCTGTGGGTGGCTCGCCCTACAAAAGTAAGGCTGGGGGGGACAGGTGCTGGCCTGCTAACCCTGCTTGTGGCCTGTGCAGAGGGGCTGATCCGTCGCTTCCACCCAGATCCTGGAGTAGCAGGTCGCACTAGGAGGAGGCTTGGGGGGAAGGGGACAGCACTGGGCATCATGGATCTGGTTTGCTGTGGGGAGGGGGAGCGCCTAGGCCTAGGCCTAACCCTGCCCCTTCTGTGCACAGGAGGTGTGCGTGGGGGCTGGGACAACCTCTTGGCGGTGATCCCAGGAGGCTCCTCCACCCCCCTCATCCCCAAGTCGGTGTGTGAGACGGTGCCCATGGACTTCGACGGGCTGGTGCAGGCGCAGACCGGGCTCGGCACAGCTGCCGTCATCGTCATGGACAAATCGGTAAGGCCCCCGCCCCCTGTGGCACGCCCCCTCTCCCCCCCCGCCAGCCGGCCTGGTTCCTGCAGCAGGGCACTCACCCTCTCCTCCTCCCCCAGACAGACATTGTCCGAGCCATCGCCCGCCTCATCGAGTTCTACAAGCATGAAAGCTGTGGGCAGTGCACCCCCTGCAGGGAGGGTGAGTGCTGGGAACTGGGCTGCTGCTGATCTGGGTACGCCTGGGGGGAGATATGCCAGACTGCCCATTGGTGGGATCAGAGGTGGGGGATGAGGATGCTGGGAGGGCTGGGGTCACTGGGGGATGGTGGGGAGGATGCTGGGAGGGCTGGGGTCACTGGGGGTGGTGGGGAGGATGCTGGGTGGGCTGGCTGGGGTCACTGGGGGTGGTGGAGAGGATGCCGGGTGGGCTGGCTGGGGTCACTGGGGGTAAGGTGGGGGAGGGAGGATATCTGACTAGCTGGGACCATGGGTGGAATTGGGGGTGAGGATGCTGGACTGGCTGGATCTGTGGTGTGGCGGGATGATGCCCAGCTGTCAGGGCCTGTGGGTGGGATCAGGGGAGGGCAGCTCTGTGGATGGAGCCTCACCCCCCGGCGTGCGGGCTGTGATTGGCTGTGGTGCCCACCCCCCAGGTGTGGATTGGATGAACAAGGTGATGTGGCGGTTCGTGCAAGGCAACGCGCAGGCAGCCGAGATCGACGCACTCTGGGAGATCAGCAAGCAGATTGAGGGCCATACCATCTGCGCCCTGGGCGACGGGGCCGCCTGGCCTGTGCAGGTAGCGGGCGGCTGGGCACCAGGGCAGGGGGTGGCCTGGCAGAGGGGAGAGGTGTGTGGGTAGATGGTGGATGTGCTCATAAACTAGCCTGGCAGAAGGGCAGTTGGGGGGAAGAGGCTCCTGCAGATGCGGGGGTACATCTGGGGGGCTGCTCTGTGTGTGGTGAGGGGTGGGTGGCAGATGCAGGATGGGGGTGGGGCGCTACCTTGGCAGCCCTGCACACTCATTCCTTGCTTGCAGGGGCTGATCCGTCACTTCCGCCCAGAGCTGGAGCAGCGGATGCGGCGTCACGAGGAGACCCAGGCTCGGCAAGCGTCCGCGTGAGGGCTGGGTGCCCGGTGATGGAGGGGACCGGATCCCGCCTCTCTGTGCATGGTCAGCGCCTCTCCCCCATGACGACATGCGGGAGGGGCTGAGCACTTGACACGTTGGCTGGGATCCGCATGGGGGCAGCCCTTGGTGCCTCTGGGTGTTGATGGGTTTTTCTGGCATGTGCGGGGCGGGTGACTTACCTGTGTGTCTATTGGGGTTTCTCTTGCATGAGGGGGAGACCCCCCTGGCTGTGCTGTCTTCTCACCCTCCCCTGCTGGGTGAGCTCCCCAATAAACGTGCTGTGGTGGCAGCCGGTATCTCCTTCCTGTGCGAACGCGCATCTGTGTAACGCCAGGGCGCAGCTGGGCGCCGAGCCACAGGCTGCCGTCCCTCACACGGCCGCCCCTTCCCTGCCAGGAGAGCGGCAGGTTGGGTTCCCTTACAGCTGTGACAGTCTGGCTGTTCTTGGGGGTGATCTGGTACCAGTTGAGCTCTGCTTGGCTCTCATTTGAAAGCCCGACCTGACACTTCCCCCAAGCCTGAGCCAGTGCTGCTGCCACCTCCTTGTCTTGGGGGCTTCCTGCCCCCAGGCCCCCTGCCTGCGATCTGTCCCTGCGTGGGAGCTCAGTGTGGCAGCGGCCGTGTCCCCCTCCTGCCTGGGTGCACGGCGGCGAGGTGCTGTGACTCGTCGGCACGCTCACTCTGCAGCACACGCAGTGTGGCCGGCAACTGGCAAGAGACGGGCAGGTGGCTGCTGCTGTGCCAACCCCAAGGGCAGCAGGCGGCGGTCAGATCCGACCGGAGCCCACGGGGTTGGGCTGTTTTCTGACCTCACTTCACCCAAACCGGACCCTAGTGAACAGGTTGCAGTATGGGGGGAGGGCGGGGTGTGTGTGGTTGGGGAGTGGCACTGCATGTGGGGGGGTGGGGGGAGAAGAGCCGGGGGCAATGGGGGTGGGCAGGGCATCCACAGTGTCTGGTGGGGAGGTGAGGACTGGCCCCAGAGACCCTGGCTGGGGCCCACATGTGGTTGGCAGGGGGCCAGGCTGGGGCACCAGGGGTTCCCCCAGTCTCTGTTGCTGGCTCCAGCCCCCGTTGCTGGCAGGGGTGGGGTGAAGGGGGCTGTTCGTGAGTTCCTGTTAGTGTCTCCTGCAGGGCAGGAGCTGAGGCCCAGCAGGGGGCAGCACCTGGCCCTGGGTCCCCCAGCACTGAGAGGGCACGCTGAGCTCAGGGAGGCTTGTTTATGAGTAGACCCCACATGAAATACAGCAGCCACCAGCATCACAGCTCACGCAGGTCTCGTCAGCATCCCCCCTCCAGACACCGTGTAACCCCCCCCAGCGTTATCACAGGCTGGGGATTCCCTCCTAGGGTCACCCCCTCAGCTCTGTCCCACGCCTCTGGGAGGGGCACGCCCAGCCTGCCCCCCTTGTTCTTTCTGCCCTTGAGATGGGGGGACACCTCGCCTAGCCTGCCCCGCTGGCTCTCTCTGCCTCCAGGGGCCCCTCGCCCAGCCCTGCCAGCTGGCTCTGTCCATGCTGCGGGGCCAGGGCAGGCCATAGCGCAGGTGGGCTGAGGGCTCAGCGGGTGCTGGGTGGGCGTGTTCTCCGGCGGTAGGTGCTGGGCGCCAGCAGCTCCAGCGTGAGGTCCGTGATGATGGCCGTCAGCCCCCACACCCGGTAGCGGCCGTTGAGGAAGACGGGCAGCGTGTAGCTGTAGCGGCCCTGCTGGCAGAAGTGGGTGTAACCGTGGTTCTGGGCCTGCAGCAGGTGAGACAGGGGGATGGTGAAAACATCCTCAACCTGGCGGCAAAGAGAGACAGAAAGGGCATGTTGGTGTTGCCCTGCCCGGCAGGGTCCTGTTACCCCTGTGCCTGGCCCTCAGCCCACGGGCTGGGCTGGGCTAGGAAAGCAGCACACCCGAGTGCCCTGCGCCCCCAGCACGCAGTACCTCCTACAGTAGAGTAGGGACTCAGGAGAGGAACAGCTGGGACCATGGCTGCTCCCTCCTTGACAAGCCTCCCTGGCCCCATGTCCGCCGCCTCCTCCCTCCCCCCTAGAGGAGTGTATTCTCGAGCACAGATACAGCTGCAGCAGGACAGCATCTGCCCGTTCCCCCTAGGAGCTGCCGTGTGCTAGCCTCCCCAGCGGTCCCACTCTTCCTCCAGGGCAGGCCATGCGGCCTCACTACCTCTGAGAGGGAGCCACTGGGCTCCATCCCATGAGCTCTGCCCAGCGCATCCCACTGAGCCAGACCCCTGCTCAGAGACTTTTACACCCTGCAGAGACTAATACACCCCAACCAGTGTTTGCAGCGACACCAGGCAGCCTTTTCCACACACAGCAGGGTTTATTAGTCACCTGGAACCAGTCTGGGGAGGTTCTTGGGGCAGCAGAGAGAAATAAAGGTTAAGACACTGTCCATCTGGCCAAGCCAGTGCCATCAACCAGCCAAGCTGCATGGCCTCCATTTCAGGCTCTGTCTGTCCTGTCTCACGTGAGCACACTGTCTCTCTCAAACGCCCCCTCCTATCCCTTCCCGGCCTCTCTGGCCTTGGCTCTGCGTCCCTGCCGGGCTGGGGGAAACCTCCTTCCTCATGTCTCTTGGTTGCTACGTGTGCACGTTCTCGTCCCTAGGGCTTCCTATTGTCTTTTTTGGCTTAGGCATTGATATGGCTCAGTTCTAGCCCGTTCCTTGTTCATTACGCCCCACACAGCAAAACTCCACCCACACCTCCTGTCTCCTGTGCTGCCCCACATGCAAATTTAACTCTTCTCTCATAGGTTCCAAGGCCTGTTGTCATCATCTCATGTGACCTCCCGTCTAACCCAGGCCAGGGAACTGCCCCCAAACAATCCCTAGAGCAGAGCTTTTAGCAAAACATCAGTCTTGATTTGAACATTGCCAGAGATGGAGACTCCACCATGACCCTTGGTAAATTATTCCAATGGTTAATTACGCTCAAGGTTAAACATTGACACCTTATTTCCAGTCTGAATTTGTCCAGCTTCAACTTCCAACCACTGGATCCTGTTAGACCTTCTCTGCTAGACTGAAGAGCCCCTTATTAACTATTTGTTTCCCATGTATGTAGTTATGGACTGTGATTGAGTTGCCCCTTAAAATCTTCTCTTTAAGATAAATAGATCAAGCACCTTGAGTCTATCACTATAGGGCAGGTAATCATTTAGATCTTCCCTGAACCTTCTCCAACTTATCCAAATCTTACTTGAAGTGTGGCCTCCAGAACTGGACCCAGCTGTGGTCATACAAGTGGCAACTAAAGGGGTAAAATAACCTCCCTTGTCCTACTCAAGATTAGGCAGGATCACGTTAGCTCTTTTGGCCACAGCATCACCCTGGGAGCTCATGTTCAGCTAACTACCCACCCTGACTCCAAAATCTTTTTCAGAGTCACTGCTTCTGAGGATACAGTCCCCCATCGTGTAAACACACCCTACTTTTTTTGGCCCTAGATGTATACATTTACCTGTAATTTAAACACAGATTCTTTGCTTGCGCCCAGTTTCCCAGATCGCTCGGTATCTGGGATCCTGTCCTCTTCGTTATTTACCACTCCCTGAGTTTTGTGTCATCTTCAAACTTTATCAATGATGATTCTGTTTTTTTCTTCCAGGTCATTGACAAAAATGTTAAATAGCGTAGGGCCAAGGACCAATTCCCATGGGACCTACTGGAAACACACCTTCTCAGTGCAATTTCCCATTTAACATTTTCCACCACTGGGTAGTACTGCAAAGTACGTGGCCAGGGAACGGAGGAACACATAGCATTCATAAAAATTTCCCACAGTCACAGAAGATGAAGAGGCGACTTGCTCTGGTCTATAAGGATCTCCAAAGGACACAGGCAAAGTGAGGCCCGAGGGCTGGGGTCAGACTGAAAATGAGGCACAAATGGCTAAGAGGGAGGGGAAATAATACTTGGTACAAGGTGCCCAGGGCAGGGTGGATTCCCCATCATTCTTCAGTGAACTCTCAGGCCATGTCTACACTAAGGGTGATGCAGCTATGCTGCTGTAGCGGAGACACTTCCTACAAGGAGGGATTTTTCCATCGCTGCAGGAACTGCACCTCTCTGAGCAGCGGCTGCTAGGTCCTCTGAAGTCTTCTGTCGACCTAGCCCTGTCCGCTCCAGAGACTAGGCTGGTGCAGCTGTAGCGCTCGGGGCAGGAGGGGAACTCTTCACACCCCTGAGAGCTGTAGCTCACCCTAACATTTAAGTGTAGCCCAGCAGGCTTCAGGGTCTCTCTGCAGGAGATGGGCTCTCCCCCAGCCAGGACACCACTGCCCGAGTGCAGGGCCGGTGCAACCCATTAGGCGACCTAGGCGGTCGCCTAGGGCGCTACAATTTGGGGGGCGGCGACCGTGGCAGTATTTCAGCGGCGGGACCTTCCGCCGCCTAGGGCGGCAGAAAAGCTGGCGGCGCTCCTGCCCGAGTGGGTTGCTAGGTGGGGGGCTCCAGTTGCTGCAGGAGGGGAGCTGCTGGGCAGCAGAGGGGTCCCCAAGCAAGGGGCACTGGAATGGTCTTGGGTTGCTGGATTGGGGGTCTCTGGGCTGGGCAGGGCAGGAACTCAGCCAGGGTGATTGGGAAGCTCCTCTCTGGCCAGACCATGAGTCACTCCGCGCAGGGGGAGCCTGAGGCAGGCAGGCAGCCAGGTCCCCGGTGACACTGGCCCCAGCTGCCCATAGGCCAGGGGCTCTGCTGATCTCCCTCCCTGCAGGAGGCCAGCACGCTAACCAGGCTGGGGCGCCGTCCTCTGGCCAGGGACCCGAAGGATGGTGGGGGCCCTGCACGTGCTAAGGGCAGCTGCAAGCGGCACAGCCATGGCAGGGTGGGGTCTGCGTGGGGCTCACCTCCTGTGGGTTGGGGCTCAGACACACACACTCCAAGGGGCCCAGATGTGCCAGGACGGGAGCAACAGTCAGTCCCCTCTGGAAGGAAACCAGAGTGAGACCCCCCCACTGACACTGGCTTCCCTAGGAACCTCCCCGCCCCTCTGGGACCCACCTTTGTCTCACAGAGATACCCCCTGCCCACAGGACCCACCTCCACCTTCCAGCACCACCCCCCTGGAATCCTCCCTAAGAGACCCCTCGGCCTCACAACACAGCCCCAACAGAACCCACCCCTACTTGGAGAGCCCCCCATGGACCCTCTGCTTCACAGCACTGGCCCCCACCCAGAATCTCCCCCCTCCTGGGAGAGCCCCCCATGGATCCTCTGCCTTGC